CCTGCCTTAAAATGGATTTAACTTTTACAGCACAATGACATTAGAAAAGTTAAGAGGAAAAAAGTAAGGTAGAGAAAAGTCTTCCTTTGTGGCCTAATAACCCAGATTGAAAGCCTTGAAAAACCTGCCAAACACCTTTAACACCATTCATACTCTCCATGAAACACACGTAACGAGGGCAGACACAGATCTCAGACTGCCTGGTGTGCAGATCTGGCAGTCATCATCAAAGCCTAGCTGCTCAGTTTATTAGTGTGGGAGAGATTATCCTCAGATAAGACAGTCTGGCATAGTGAAATACTCTAAAGCATCAAACACCTACATGACCCTGCACTTTAACCTTTTACATGCTACTGTGCAGCACCTGTCTGCTGACTGGGTTAGACATGCAAAGGCGGAGGGAGTAATTGCCTTCACGGGGTATATAGCTTGCCTGTCATCCTTTCCTCACGCTATCAAACCACTGCCTTTACTATGAAATACAGAATCACTGAGCCTCCCTTTTAATTTCACATATTTTAAATGTCTTCATCACAGATGCTTCATCATGTCAAAACAATCCATTAGTTATCTAGATTGTGAAAGGAGGTTAAGATGTTTATTATGTTAACATTAATTATTTGTTGTTCAAATTCTCTCTCATTTAATGTGATCTAAACTCTCCACTGTCTAATGAAGTTAGTAAAGGCCTAAATATTAACAGGTACCAACTAGCAGACATTCCTGTGAGTATTAACTGTATGTTCAACGTGCTGTTCAAGACAACACTTTGTGTGAGACACTGTGCGTCCTCTCAATCTCATGGGAAAGCAGCGGTAAGGGAGGATGTTGGTGGCCTCAATGTCTCAGTTGGGCAAATCTTTAAAGGTGTGTCAAGCCACTTTTGCTGGTGACAAAAAACCTGAGCTCCAACATCAGACACATCTCCAACAGAGATGTGTCTGATGTGATTAGAGAGAGAGGAAACATCCCCATTGATCAAATGAAAAAAGATTACAAGGTGTAGCATGAGTTTTCCCTCACTCTCTCTTATAAGTCTCTTGAGGCAGGGAATCAGTGGGAGCCAGTGTGCAGGGGACACTCTGCCTTGCTGGGCTAATTGCTGTGATGGATTTGTGTTATTCCCCAGAGCTCCTGCTCCTGCAATAACACAACAAGAAGACTTTGCCAATCCGCACGTTGGTAGGCTATGAAGGAACTGTAACTGTTAATACAGTTGTTGCTGTTGTGAAGGCAGCAGCAGCCTACACAAAGCTAATATTGTAATTTGGCAGAATGGATTTCTCAGAGGAAATTATTCTGGGTCCCCTCTGGGTCAATTTTGCATTTGATTAGTGGGAGGCTACTGTCAAAGTATTAGAGGAGCAGTGTTTTTTTCTGATGTCGGTGATGCTTTTTTATTTGCCTCTAGAATGCTGGGAGGAGTCAGTGTGACTGCCCACGTGAAGTGAGGGAAAGGTGAACAAACATACACACAAGCGCAAACAGACACGTGCTGAGGAAACCTGCACACACACCAACACAGTGCAGAAACTGGGGCTAGCACCCTCACATTAATCAATACTATTCTTAATGAGGCTTCCCTTCTAATGGTTCAACTTGCAGCCACGCGCAGGCGTATGCGCACACCACATTTCTCACAGGGAAGCCCTGATTAAGTCATAGCAGCCTCCTTTCCTAAAATGGAGTGTTGCGTCGGAGCCGAGCCGAGTGCAGAGGAGAAGATCTTTAATAACGGAGGAGGACAGCCTCCGGGGAAAGACCCCTGGAGAGAGCAGTCACGTGTATGTTGTACAGAGACCTGTATCTGTTGAATCACACAACCAGTCCTACTGTGCACAGAGCTGCTCGGGGGGTTTGCATTAACCACTTGTGTTTGAGAAGAGGACTAAAAAAAACACATGCTTGGTGGACTGTAGGAATGTGTGCATTTGTAAAGGGTGGACAAGGATGCGTGTGCTGTTGCGTGTGCATTTCATCAGCTTTACTGCAGATGAAAACTACAGTATGACTAATCTCAGATTTCTTCAGAAGGAATGGATTTTTCTTATTTGGGGACATCAAAGCACAACATGGCCTTGCACACTAGATTTGGATGGCAGCGTCATCAAAATGAATAATTCTTGTTTTCCATGATAAAAGGAAGGTCAAGATTGTTAAAACACACACACATGCACGCACCAACACAAATACACACCCACAAACACGAATACTGGACATGAGCTCCAAACCTCTTTTAAGGCAAAGAAACTATTTTCAGTCATTTGTAAAATAATGAATAAAAGCCACAAAGTTACTAAATGTGACCACTCTCCAACTATAAGTGTCTGCCTGTGTTTCCCTTGACAGAAAAATGAGTGGTGGAGTGGGGGTGGGTGGTTAAAGGATTAAACAAGCGTGTTAAATGAACAGAAGCAGCGAGGTCTTCACAATTAAAATCAGAGAGGGGGTCGTAATGATGGGCATGATGGCTGTTCAGCAAATGACAGCCTTCCTCCCTCTCTGTCTTTATGACTCTCTCGCTCAGATTTCTTGCACCTGATCAGCAGGCCTCTAATTTCAAGCAACAATCAGTGCAGTGAGCGCGGCATTCTCCCAGAACACAGAGCCCATGTTGGGACGCTTCCTCATCAGCCAACCTTGTGCACCGCCCGCTGTGGAAAACAGTTTGCACAATTTATGTGAGCTTCTACATGACTGCACACATAATTTGATTAACCAACTGACAAGTATTTATTTAGTTATTTATTTATCTTATCTTAAGCCATGCTAGCAACACGCCTGTGTGGATGTCACAATATCACAGCAACATGTGGTTTTAATGCCATGAAATTCGATACAGACGTTCTTGGTTCCCAGAATTTGAATCCTAGGGACTTTGGTGATTCCCTGACTTTTCCTGACCTTTCTGGCTTTGGGTGAAATGTCTCAAAACTCTTGGAGGGACTGCCATGAAATTGAGTACAGATGTGCATGAATTATAATAAATCTTTTGACATTTCATCTAATGTCACCATCATGTCAAAATGTTAATTTGTTCACGTTCACTTTTACTTATACTTTCACATGTTCTCTTGTCTCCCTCATTTTGACTATATGCTGTTGTAACATTATCTTATCTTACTTTGTATCATGACATAAGAACAGAATTGATGGCATTGATTCCCATTTTTGGTAAGGTGCTAATTAGTAAATGTTAGCATGCTAACTTATTTCAGATCCTCAGAATTTTCTCCTGAAGAAGTCCATGATTACCTGTCTATAGATAGCCAGGAGAATTGGATGTGAGAATCGATACTGTAAGCACCTTCGATGTGAGGTGCCTACAGTATCGAGGAAGGCAGGAACGTGACAAACTTGTTGAAGCACATGTCGAATCACGGACACATTTGAAATCACAGGGCTGTGTTTGACTGCTTGTGTGATCCCATGCCAACAGTGTGGGTGTACCTGGCCCCAGAGGTGGGGAGACAATTGATTGGAGCAGAGGTATTTTGCTTTTTTAAGCAATAAACTATTATTTAGTGTTAAATTGTTGTAGTTGGCTTAGGTATTATTTATCATGTCATTTTGTAAAATAATTCAGGTCCAGCTACGTTCAGGCACCAGAGCCATTTTTTTAAAGTTAGCACTGGCATTGGAAAAAACCTAAACGATACCAAACCCTACTGTGAAGAAAATGAACAGGGTAAAACTGTTTTACATATGTAGCAGTCAAGGTCCCCTAGACCTCTAAAACAGACTTTGATGGGAAGAATTGGAGGAAAAAATAGACAACATTAATTCTACATTGTACTGTGATGCAAATAGGTCTCCCACATGGAGGGTCAGGCATATTACATGTATAGATTCAACTTTTGCATTTTCTTTCCTCTAAACAGTCAGATGAACGTCTCCCTGACCCCACACAATCAATTACATTTTATGTAATTCATTGGACAGGAGCAGAAATCACCACAACGTGCTGAGACTTTCACAAAATCAGGTTATTTAGCAAAAAACCTTCTTTCCTCCTGTGTGTGGTGGGGGCTGAGGCCACAGGGGGGTTTGTGTTTCAAATTTAGCACAAGAGGAGGAAAGAGCAGCTACTGTATAATAAGCCTGAGGAGAGAATAAGTTGAACTTTGACCCCAGCTCCCGTTATAGATGACGGTGGCGACCTTGGGAGGGTGAGAGAGGAGATTGATGATGGGTATTTTGCTTAATGAGCTCACAAGAGAATTACCCCTCCCTCGGAGGGAGGTCAATTGTCTCCCACTCAAGGTAAAAACTACAAATGTTAATGCGATCAGTATAGGAGTCACCTCCCTCCTTCTTACCTAGTACACTTTATAACAGGGCTGAACATTAAATTTCCTTCCATCTACGTCTAAAAATAGCAAAGGACATCTGTGACGTTCGGAATTTAAGCATGTGTGAGGTCAGATGAGAAATTCCACAAACCATGGTTTTACATGTCATGCCTAAATGTCTTCCATTTAAATCCTTTAAACACGACTGATTTCAAACTTTACATCCTGACACACTACCCTTGAGTGCCTGAAAAACAAGTCGCTGGGTTGATAATAAGACAAAAAGGTCACCATGGAAACAAGATTTTTTTCTGAGGTATGGCCACTGTGGGGATAAAACAGGAAGTAAACACAGAGGGATGGAAGAGATGAAGAGACAGATGGGGAAAATCTATGTGGAGGGAGTGAGAATGAAACCTGCAGGATCCTGAAGAAAATCAGTGACAGAGTGTGAAAACCGCTGAGGCAGGAAGAAATTCACCACCCACTATAACCTGCACTCAAGAGGAATCATCTGACCCCACTATCTGGGTTACCCCACATTAAGGAAGGGAAAACAGGGGGTCCAGGAAGGGAAGGAAGACAGAACATGTCGGGGGTAACCATTTGTTTCACTTTTACTTTTTTGCCCTATCCTGCTCTCCCGCTGTTCCTGGGGGGGAGAACCCTTCTGTGTTCTCTCTTTCTTTCATCCCGTCTCCATCTTACCTGGAGCTGTGCAGTTCTTAGATTCTTCACTCTCTATTTCCTCCAGGCTGCTGTTGTCCATCTCCTGCAGTAGCCTCCTTCCTCCCCATCTCTCCTGGTCCTCGCTGCTCTGGCTCGACATGTCAAAACCTACATAGATTGCCACAGAAACAAGTTTTAAAATATAGATTCCAGTGACCTTTCAGAGCAGCTAGTAATTTCAATAGGTTGTTTTATAATATAACACCTGGGTTCAAATGGTGATACCAGAACTATGCTTTCCCTTTAAATGACCATGATGAAAATATGAGCATGGATAAATAAGGTAATCTAAAATTGAAAAAATATACGATTAATTTCAAAAGAATTAATAAACGTGCGAAAACAAGAATCATACGAGTTTAAATCATGCCCTATTGGTGCGAGATGGGTTTGAAGTAAAGTCTTGCACCCAATCTGTGTCAGACTGTGGGTATTACTTTTGATATCATATCAGAAGGTGCGATACATGTATGTAAGTAGAGACATGTCAAAAAGTCTTCTCTGCCATTCTCTTGAGGGCAGTACAACATGTTGATTTTGCCAAGTGAGTTTGAGGTAGATGCTGTGTGTCTGTAGCAGCCACCAGCTCAATTCTGCATCATCTCATGGCTAGTTTGCAAATATGAAGCAACATTCACAGTGTGGGGTTCTGGTCGTACAATGAAAGTTACTACTACGCAGAGAAATATATGTAGATGCTGCATTAGCTGCTGGATCATACGTCAAGGTCACCGTCAAGGGACCTGTGGTCTGTCGGGATAAAAAGCACTATGACGTTTACATTGCAAAAGAGATCAAAATTTGATTATATTAAGGTTTTATGATCAACATATTGTAGTAAAGGTTTTGTTTCCAGTTACCTTTGTTTGAAAGTTAGGTGTAATCGCTGCTAAACAGTCAAGAGACGAGTGGAAATTATACAACTATAATGTGTTGTGTATATTGTGCAGTTGTACTTTATTGCAAGGGTCAGTATTGGTTTAAATATTCACACCTGATCAGACCAGTTAAAAAGTGAAGGGCTTAATCATGCTCCCTTTTAAAAACATGGGATGGAAATACATTGATACTGAAGAACACTGATACTGAGCAACTCAGTTCAGGATATTTTGATTTCTTCAAGTGTTTCAAAGTGAATGAGTTTTGTTTTGAGCTGCAGCGCAAGAAAAACTAAAATAATGGGGACGTGAAGAGAATAAGCCATTAACACATTTCATGATAATATTAAGGACGTGTCCGCAAGTCAAAACCAAATCCAGGTTTGATAAATGTGGGTTCCTTCAGACAATGAATTTTTTCAGTAATTGAGTTCATGCAGGCTAACACTGATACACCTTATTTTGAAGTATTCCATGTTGATTGCATAATTAAAACTTGATGAAAAATGTAAGCCACTGCTTGTCTTTGTGTACAGGTTTTGGAGGTGTTGGTGTTTTGCAGTAATGGGTAGTGTGGAGTCTGTATATGTATATTGACAGTACACTGTGGGGGTTTAGATTCTTGTTAGCTTTATTGGGCAGTGTTTTCATCATGGGGTCCCCAGCATGCAAACAAGGACGCACACATTATGACATAATATATGTTGCCACCACTGTCGTACTAAGCTCAAATTAATGAGCCCAGAAACACAGTAATGTGTCAGAGAAGAACAAAACCAGCAGGTAACATAGATACAAGCAATGCAGGTTTAAAAAGTTCAAAAAGTGGATCTACAGATGTTGAGGAAATGCATTCAGCACAGATGTTCATCAAAGACACACACAACACAAATTGATGACACTAAATGTAAACACTGTTTTTGTACGTTTGCAACTAAATGCCACAGGGCACCATAAATTCAGACTCTAAATGATTTTGGACACTGGAGAAAAGTGTCTCAAGCTGAGATGGAGATTGGATTTATGTCTGTAGGTTTCATCATGTGGTCGTCAACTTGCACATTTGGCAGCCTGAAATCTCTAAAAAAACCTCTGCCAAGTATGTTTCAATTACTGTTTGTGTGTCTGTTAGAAGGAATCCGCAAGAATTACTGAACCCATTTTATTGAAACTTGGTAAACATGTGGGGTCTAGAGGACCTAATAACCTTTGGAGTGGATTTGATTATGGTGGATCCAGGATTTTTCCCCACTTTCTTTGACCCTGCTTGATAGGGCTTGAGCTTTGGCACATATGTGTTCTCAGAGCTCCTTTCTAATTAGAATTATGAGCAAGCACGCAATGCCAACTTCTGGTGCTTCACAGTTTTCAGTGACAGGACATATTTTAGTCAGTGTCACACAAACACAGACCACAGATATTCAATAACCAGACGTGCAGCAGAGGGCCAAGCTGGACAATTATGTTCATGAAAGTCAATGACTTGTTTTGGAAGTGGAGTACAAGTCTATCTGGACATAAACAATAAAGACATTTGAACTGTTTTCAGTTTCTACATCCAAGTTAACAGTTTGTGTCTTGAATGTTACAGATAGCAAAGTACATGTGAAGCAATCAGTTGTATTTTTGAAGAGCAGGCTTCTGATCTCTGTGACATGAAAGTTTGATTCCTTATGTAATAGCCGGGTAGTGAACAGCTGGAGGAGCGCACCACAGATGTGTCACTTTGGCGTCCTCCTTCCAAAATTCATACATTGAAGGGGAATTTCATGTTTTTCCTAAACAAAATCCTCTTAGGGGGTGAAGCAACAGCACAGTGCACAAAGTGAGGCTCCCACTGTGGCTACATCTGCACATTCTTCAAGACAGCAGCAACACCAATGAATTCATTTCATACTTCAGAGAGCTCAGCAGGAAGCCTCTGCCCTTTCCACCCTGCCAACTACAAGGCTGGCCTAAGAGACGGATACAAGTAGAATTAAAAAGCCCAGCTATTGAATAGTCCTCAGGGCACGGCTGAACTTCTCACCTGGCCTCACCTTCAGCACACCCCACCGGGCAGCCGAAGCAACAGTGAGGTTTGCGTGTCAGTCCTCTTCCCTTCCCTCCCTTCTAGCTCTCGCTATCTTGCACGCGGAGAAGGAGAGGACGAGAGCGGGAATGATTAATGTGCCGCTGCGAGGAGGAGTTGAGTGCTCCGCTTCCAGCTCCACAGCATCGAGCTCCATTTAGCAGAACTTCATTAAGCACATCATAAATAATCAACTTTAATTGATATTCCGGCGAGCTGATTAAGAGTTAACGAGAACACAATGGGGACAGGGGAAGTGCATTAAACGTGCCTGTGTCGTCTCTTGTTCGAGCACATGCAGGGAGAGAGCAGCTCTGTTGCATTTCCATAAAACCAGCATATGCAGAGGGGAGGATGAAAAAAATGACTCACACTGATGATGCACAAATCATGTGTGTATGAATATTCATGCAGAGCCCTCTGTCCACGGAAAGTGATAAATACTTCTCACTTTAGCTGACGCTGACTCAGTAATCAAGAGGAGTGTCGGGGGGCCACAGTCAATGACAGATAAAAAGAGAAAGATAGGAACATGTAGGCATTAAGTCAAGTGGTGTATGTTTGCTGTACTTAAGTTATTTATCATCAGGGTTACTATTTGCACGCTTTGGTGATCATTTAACAGACATGTCAGAGAGAGAGAGGAGGGGGGGAACAGTGTGTAGCCATTTTCAGTAACCTGGAGAGGTGCAGGCCTATACCCTGGGGCTCATTGCCCTGATTTCACCACTCTGCAGCTAAAACACCTGAACATGCAGGAGCCTCTGCATCCCTCTGCCCCAGAATAGTTTCCCATAGTTAAAGCTCAGATGAATTCCCATTATAGCCCACTGTGTACCAGTGTACCTGTGTGACACCTTGACATTTGTCCCATTTCTTTTTCTTATTTTCTTCAATCAGGTCATGTTGTGCAGAAGTTAACTCCAAAAGGACTTTACTATGATTTAAAAAGAACATAATGTAGCCTGTGCTGGAAATGGTGTGAACACACACACTTTTGTTGTTGTTATATCTCTGAGGATGTGAGTTAGCTTAAATAAAATAATTTAGGGGATTACTTACTTAGCAGACCTTCTTACCCCTTATACCCGTGCTCTACACTTGGTTCTGCTAACCAGCTGTTAATGGATATAAGATTCATTCACTGTTAGAGCTCCACGGCTATAGAACAACCTCATCCCCTTTTAAAACTCTTTTAAATTTGCATTTTTATAAAACAACTTTGAACTAAACTTGTTTTGTCAGATTGTTTTTATCATTATCTTGCTTTTAACCAGGTATTTGTTTGTTTTATTGCTTTATTTCACTGTTTTACTATCAAGATTGCTTTAAACCAGGAATCTGTTTATTGTATTGCTTAATAAATTGATTTTAAACAGGTACTTTGATTTACAATTTCTCTTGCATTACATGGTTTCAATTTGGAATTGCCCTGCGTGTATTTTTTCAGTGAAGCACTTTGTAAACGTTTTGTGTTAAAGCTATCATTTGAAAGTCAGGATTATTTACACCACAGAAAACGATGATTTCCCATTAGAACGGGTTATCATTACCACATGTTGGACTGATAACACAACAGTTCAAGTAGAAAGCACTGAGGAACATATGTTCATACACAGCTGCCTTCATGTTACACTCCTGTCTCTGCAGAACAGTGCTGTTGTGTGCAGCTGAACTAGACCCAGTGGTGTTGCTCAGTGTGTGTGAGTCTAATCAGAGGATCAGTGTCCCCTCGCCGGCTCCAACCTCACCTGAATGATCCGCTAAGAAGGAACAGCCCTTGACGAGCAGCAGCAAGCCTCCGAACAAGCAGATCTGGATCCACACCAACTCCTTTCGCCTTTTCCGCCTCGCCCGGACCTTCCTCTGGGTCGGCATCACTTGCGGCGGCCGATTCCGTTGTCGGATACCAGGCAGAGACATCCCCTCTACCGCTGCCACATCCATGCGGATCCCCAGAGAGAGAGAGAGGGAGAGGACGCAGCCTCCTGTGATTCCCAGAGAAGTGACTCCTCTCCCAGGAGCGGAGGAGCAAAGTACAGGGGAGGGGTCTGAAGGGAGGAGGGGAGGGGGCGTTTTAAGAAGACGAGGAAAAGTTGCTGGGGTGATGTGAGGGCTGATCTGTGAACACGGTGGGCAACACGGTGAGATCCAGCCCCGAGGTCTGTCTCCTTCTCATGTCATGATGAAGAAGTGAGGAAGAGGAAGACTGCACCAGCTCTCCACGGAGGAGCTGCTGAGCGAGCAGGCAGAGAGACACTGAGGGAGACCCAGAGAGAGAGAGAGGGGGGAGAGAGAGAGAAAGACAGAGAGAGAGAGAGAGAGAGAGGAGAGACAGAGGGGGGCACTAAGGAACAGTGAGAGAGGGGGGAGATGGGAGAGAGAGAGAGAGAGAGAGAGGGAGTTGAGGACACTGAGAGGGGAGAGAGAGGGGGGCACTGTTAGAGAGAGAGAGAGGGGAGAGAAGGGGGTCACTGAGGGACAGCGAGAGAGGGAGAGGGGGGCACTGAGAGAGACTAAGGGACATAGAGAAAGAGCGATAGGTACATTTCGGGGACTTAGTATAGACTCCATTATTTCTAGGAGACTTACCCTAACTATACCTGAACCTTAACCTAAACATAACTATGACCACTGACCCATAGATTAGCCTTGTCCCAGTTGGAGACAAAATGTGTCCCCCTAATCTAAACTATTAAATAGACTTTGGCTGATGGAGTGCAGTGAGACTGATCCACAACAGTGACGTTGCCACCCTGGAACCAAAACAATGAGCTGAAAGAAACTAAAATGTTCTCTGGGTCTGAGTCAGGTGATCATTCTAATCAGAATGAGCCACAACAAACACAAAGTGTGATCAAGGTCATAGATGGATCAGAGGCAAGTACCATGAAACCGGTTATGATGTGTAGGGGAGTCCAATCGTACAAGTCAGCAAACTATTCTTACTTCAAAGAAAGTCCCCCATGATAAGTTTTCAATAATACAGTGCTCAAATACTAATTACTGGTATGTACAGACTTACATGTTGTTGACATGTACTAATGGTAAATTAACACACTAAGTGCAGGTACAGATAAATACACATTTCATATAAGACAGTGCTTTGTTAAATGTGCTTACTGGAAGTTGCTTTGGATAAAAGCATCAGATAAATGATATGTAATGTAATGTTAAACGATATGCGAAGATGGTTCGATTCCGGTCTCCCCCATTCTGTGTGGCTGAAGTGTCCTTGGGCAAGATACTGAACACCAAATTGCCCATAACAGCCGTGCTGGCAGTGTGTGAGTGATGTAAGAAAGTGCTGCACATAGATGCACTGTATGAATGTGTGTGTGCATGGCTGAATGGCAAAAACTGTTCTATAAAGTACTTTGAGTGGTCATCAAGAAAACAAAATCTCTACATAAATACAGACCATTTACAGAACAAACCACGAGAAATAATTTCAATAGAGTAAGCACAAAAACATATGTCATTATCAACTGGGAACGTTCATAATATGTATAATGTTTCATTTTGATGAAGGTGTTCAGCTATATTTTGATCTTTATTTCACAGGGCTCAAATAGTTTGGACAAAATAAAATCAAAACAAAGTGGAGAAAAATTGGACAGTGTTGGTTGGGTGTGCTTTTCACTGCCCTCTTCTGGTAGTATCTTTTATTGATAATACTTTACTGTACAGATAAATTACAGTGTACTGATGAAGAATAACACAAATCTTTGTTTGTTAAGCTGCACTGCTTATCTTATCACCTTGGTAGTCATTTTGGACTAATATCACTTACCCAATCAAACATACACAAACCCTGTGAAGAGCAGCCAAACACAACAGTTTTTCAACGCCTTACAACCAAACAACCTCTTCTACAAACAACAAGGCAAAAGAATCAGATCAGAGGCTCCAGGTGGGTCCCCTAAAAATACACCGAGAAAAGAAGAAGTGCTTGATCGAAAGACAGCAGGGATCTTTTCTAAGAAGTCAGTCAACCCAACGTTTGTACGACATCAGCCCCCTGTATCTGAGGAAGTTAACTCAAGCACAGAGGCAGTTGCAGAAGAGGGTATAGAGTCCACTCAGCCAGGACAACCAACAAGGGAGAAGAAATCTTTACAAAACCAATGTGAACTGGCCTGGAGCTTCCTTCAGAAAAAGCAAAATGGCATCAATGCAGACCTAAGCAGTGTCCTTGAAAAGATGAAGGGCAAAGTTGAGAAGAAGCTTAACAGGATGGGTAAAATCATCTTCGAATACGGAGCGGAAAATTTTGATCTGATAACACCAACAACAGAAATCAAGTCCAGAAGACAGTGGAAAATAGACTGCTTGGTACAAGAGAGTCGAAGAAAGCCTCAGAAGAGCAGAAGGGGGGAATCAACATATTGCAGGAGAACATCAAAAGCCAACTGACAACCTTGAGACAAGCAGAGCGCCTAAGAACAACTCGGAAAATAAAAGAACAAGCAAGAACTTGATTCTTTAAAGACCACTTCAAGTTCGTGAAATATCTCCTTACCACAAAGGGAGGAACCCTGACATAGAGGAGCACCTGGAAAGAACACACTCTGATCCAAAGAAACAAGATCCGATAGCTATTCCATCTGATATCCCACCCAATGAGCAACCAGAACACCAAATGGATGTGAGCCCTCTGAAATGGAAATAAGTGGAGAACACAGTGAGATGGGCAAGAGTGTCATCAGCCCCAGGCCCAAACAGTGTCCCATGTAGGGTCTATAAGAATGCTCCATGTTTTTTGTTCTTGTGGAAATTAATGAGAGTGGCATGGGTTAAGTCAATATTACCCAAAGCTTGGCACAGAGCTGGAGGAGTACGAATACCAAAAGAGGAGGTATCCTCAAACATCAGCCAATTTCATCATAGCCCAAAGGCTGACAAGTTACCTGGTAAAAAACAAGCTGGTGGATACATCAGTCCAGAAAGCTGGAATTCCAGGGTTCTCTGGATGTTTAGCAAACACTAGCATGATCTGGTACCAAATCCAATGAGCCAAGAGTGAGAGGAGAGAACTACATGATCTCGCTAATGCAGTTGAGTCAGTACCACACAGTGTTCTCTGGGATGCTTTTGACTCCTTCAAAGTACCAGAGCCCATGATATATTTGGTTAAACCAGATTTTACAACAATATGGAAGCATCTTGAAAGTGGGCATCATCTCCCCACTAGCGTTCACCATGGCAATGAAGGTGATTATCAGAGCTTCAAAATGGGTGGTAGGTGGTGAGCGACAAAAGTTAGGGGTTTGGCTAAAATCAATCAGGGCCTGCATGTACAACATGGAGCAAGCCCGAGATTGGGAAATGTTGGTGGACATGGGCCAGCGGCTTACAGTCCCATCACATAGTGTCACTACCACCCTGAGACCAGACCTGATACTCTGGTCTTACACCATTCATGTTGTCTACTTGTTGTATTCATGTTGTAAACTTTGACAGTACCCTGGGAGGATAATGTTGATGAAGTGAATGGGAGGAAAAAGCTGTGGTATGCAGACATGGGATTTGAGACAGAACAACGTGGCTGGAAAGCAATAGTTTGCTCTGTGGAGGTTGGCTGCAGGGGTTTCCTTACAACATCCACCGCCAGGTTGCTCAAAGATCTGAAAGTCCACGACCCGCTGTGCGCCAGACCATAAAAGGAACATCATGGACTGCACAACACTGGATCCCAAGATGCTATGAACATACACCCCAGTCTGATCAACCTGTGGTGGGCCTGCTTTAGAAGAGGGTGTCTTACGATTAAAAGGCTGATGATACTGAGGTACAAAACTGACGATATGTCCCTCAAATCTGCTGGTGGTCACTAACATCTGATTACATCAACTGGTGCTAGGCATTAGTGCGGTAGAACATACAAGGGGTACTCTCCATCTTGTCCTATGTTCTAAAATGGGACAGATTTTGAATCTGCTGACTGAGAGTAGGTTTTCAGTTTAAAAGGCATAGAGGTAATGCTGTCTGATCTACTGAGCAGGCCCCTTGAAGTAGTACTGCCATACAAGCTAGTAGTCAGATTTACCTTAAGTCTCAGTGTACCCTCAAATTCGGCCTATATCGTTGATTACAAGGCCAAAACAATTGATGACGCTGAAGTGCACAACTGAAGTTATGTTCCCAGCATCCGCTGGTGGCCCTTAACACCTGCTAACATCTAATGGTAGTTGGTAACTTCAAGACCTTTTAACGTAAAAGGGCTATTCACCCCATCTTGTCAGGCTCGGGACAGGTTAGATTTACTGTGGCATGTTGTCATTACACAAGAGCAGTTAGATCATGTTGGATTAATTTGACTTGTACCTGCTTGAACGTACCACTCCACACTTTGTGTTCACAAAACATAGATACCCCTGTGTGTCTTCCATTTCTGATGATTTGACTGAAACAAAACTTAAGGATAATGACAAATACTTCACGTTGGCCAAGTGGGTTTCTTGATTGTCGGGCCTGAGGTTTCATATAAATAGCACTGGAAACTTTCCAGCAAGCATGGAAAAAGTGGTCAGGGCTCTAAGCAACTGGTTTCATTATGCTTTTTTTAACCCCTTGCAGTATGAGGCTAAGTCAGATCAAACTGGAGACAAGGAATGCAGAAAAGAAATGCAGGAGATGTGACTGAGTGCTGCACTTCTTATTTTGGAGAAAATAATCCAAGTTTATGTTTCCAAATAAAATATGTCTATTTCTTAGCATCACCTACTGAAAGGAAACCCCAATGGAAAAGCCACACGTGACTGGAGGCCTTAAAGCTGCCTTGAAGCCATGATTGTCGAACTTGCAAAGCAAGCACGGACTGGGCAAGGAGTTACTAAACAAGATGAATTCCCAACCTCTCAGAGGCACACAACAGAAAAAAATGAGGGGAAGGAGCAAAGAGGAAGGAGGGGGGGGCAACAAATTAAATCCAGTTAAATTGTTTTTCCATAGCCAGTGGGCTTGGCAAAGGACTTGCATACACACACAAGATGTAAGATAAGTAGTTGAGGAGACAACCAGAAACAATGGCTTCAGATGTAAGAGAATGCCTGGAATTTACCCCACTTTCCCATGTCCGACTGACACCGCACCCACTCCTACTGCCCTGCCCTGCCCTGCAGCACCGGGTGTCCGCACACAGACACACAAACCGCCATGTTGGTTTGACATACAAAGGTGATTCCACAGACAAACCCTGAACATCTGCCCCACACAACACTCCCAATTCACACCCCATTACAGCTTTGATCTACTGCAGTGGTCTCAGACACACACTACTCCCTCCTTTGGTAGAAACACATGCCTGGCATTAGGATCACAGTGCGTTCACTGAAGAGTAGAGCTGTAGTTATAGATGTTGAGGAAGCTCTGTAGTGGGGCTGGTTAGCAAGCAGACATATTTGGGTCATGTCTTCGCAGTCCAGGCTACAGCAGCTCCTCTCACTTTCCTTGTGCTCTCCACAACATGAAGGGGGGGTATGGTAAGCTAGGAATAGCTTGCACTAGAAAAAAAAGTTGGGACAGTTAGACGATGCAGGTGGTGATGCTGAAATGGGAAACAAGGACAAGCATCTTTGCTTTTGCATCACACAAAACAAGCAGAACAAGCAGTGGAAAACCACAAATGAAGCGCAAGTCAGCTTTTTTCTATTGGTGTCTTTATAAAATAACAAAATGTACATTCAGATCTGTCGAGTGACAGCAGGACAGCATAACAATCACAAGCATTACAGTAGTAAACACCGGATAATGTGTTTGTGTGTCTGCCCAGTCACACAGGTTCACTGAATGTGAAGCATGGCCGGCTCCTCTCCACAGGTAGAGTGCAGGTGTTGGAGACAAACCCACTCACATAATGTGGGTTGGTGTTGAAAGTTTCAAGGCTTTTTATTTGTTGTGCTGTGTCTTACCATAGACTGTATATAAAGATTGAAGACATGACCGCTTCCATAACCTGAAGCCAAAGGGCCTTGTTTGCCCCTGGTGACTGGTTGCAGTATAGGTCATTACCACTGCCTCCTCCATGTTAGTGGATTGACGTGAACCAAAATAAAACGTCAAAGTACATGTTAAATAACATTTTCCTAAAGATGGTTTTCCCTTTATTTTAAGTAGTTCGAATTACTCAAATGTATGTCCATGTTTTCCTTAGAGCTACAAAAATGTGTCGTGATTGGTCAATAATGTGCAATGTTCATTTACAGGATATTTTGCCTTCTAGTGGTACCAAGGGGAAACATTGCCCATTTTTATATACAGTCTATGTGTCTAACCAGAAAACATTTGTCCTATTTACCCAGAGACATTTCTCTCAGAAGACGGAAAAGAGCATGTAGTTTACAGAGCCGAGCTGTGCAGGAGCAATTTCAGTTGGACCTTTAAACATACATTCTGTTAACACAGGTACAATAATCTTTTAAAATTGATTTTACACGTGTAGCTATGCCAGTCACTGCTTCAATCAATATTGCAAGGCTGTTACATTATCACTGTCCTGATGATCTTTTGACGCACTCTAAGCCAAGGACTTGGAGCCCAGCTATGCTTCAGGGTCAGTGCCATATCCCTAAGAAGAGATTATGTGGAGACAGTCAGCTAAGAGTGAGACAAGTAGGAAGAGTCTGAGGAGACGGATGGACAGAAAAAGACAGAAATAGAAATAAATGTGGACTGACAGGCAGAAGGAAAAAGACAGAAGGAAAGCACAGAAAACAACTGAGCCACACAATGTAGTGCTGTTGATGTCTGTTCCATCCCGTATCACCCATGTTCCCTCTCTATGAACTCTTGGTCAATCTCTCACTTCCTCTTTGCTCCTGTGTTTACACTTAACGGGCCCTATCTGATCCCGAAGACGAGGGACCAAGGACACCAGCGAGGGGATGATGTTCTGTAACAGGTCAAAAGAATTCTGCTGATTTCCAAAGAGGAAGGAGGACAGTCCACAATCAGGTGTAAGTCACTGAGGATTAATGCCTTCCTGAGGAAACTGGGTTCACCATCATGTCCCCAGTGCGATAACTGCAAGACAGAAAACAGAAGAGTCATTTTGGTCTCCGGCTCTTATTTTTTTTTGTTATTAATCAATAATATCTGGGACAAATTACTTTTCTGAATGGCAGCCACAATTTTACTCCATTCAGATCCACAGAAATATATACAATAAACCAGCAGACAGTAGCAGCTGTAAGTTAGTGGTAATATCAGATCAAGGTAGGCTTTAGTTTAAAATATGCATGGATCATTTATTGTTCCTATTGTATATTTAAACAAACATACAGAAATAAGTGAAAACAAACACAAATGAAATGCATCGGATGCTTGCTGTATATACCTCAGGAAGTCAGGAAATGCTGACTATTTTATACTGAAATAGTACCATTTAATAAAGATGACATTATATGATGATGAATGATTGTTTGACCTGAAACATGTCTCTTCTCGTACTGGATCCAAAGGTTAATGTTTGACTACAATGTATGATTCTAAGTGACGTTGTGATGTCGTCATTCCTACTATATGATCCCATATTACTATCTCTCTTATTATCTATTAATATAAGCTTTATATCCTGTCCTATACGATGCAGATGACTTAAAGATGGCTTCTGTGAATACTTTGTGACTTCTACATGATTTCATTTATTTGACATCATATGACAGGGGATCATTTTGTGTTCAATACATGCTTAAGATTGTGATTCACTGAGACATCATAAGAATTGAATTATTCTGATCACATTTTTGTTGACATTGACCGATCAGCTCAAAAAGTTAATCATGTGGAGATAAACTCCCAAGTAATATGCTCACCAAGTTTGGTGCAAATCCAAAAAATGTTTTGCTGAGTTATTTTGTCCAGAAACACACACAAAGCAGTAAAAACGACCCCGCTTGCACGGCTCTGCCTCTGCACAGGGTAATACAGCTTACGGAATAAAGTTTTTTCAAAAGTAACACCCTTTCACTTTAAAGCAGTTAGAGGGAGTTACTTTATTGGACCTTTGGGCCACTTGAGGGCAGTGCTACCAATAATTTAATCTGCATAGTAGTCTATAACCTGTATGACGTTTTCAGGGCTAAAACATGTTTGCTAATCCAATTGCATTTGTTTGGAGTGAGTTTTCGACTAATGTTCAAACTGAGGTCCAATGTTTCCATTGCTTATAGTTTTCTATTTATGTGAACAACAGTGTTAACCACAAAACAATGAGCTGACTCATGTCCTCCATGCAGCTGAGGGACACTGCAGAGGTAGGTGGTTCTCGTCAGGTTCATCCTTCATATTCAGTCATTAGATGCAATGCTAATTATTACAGAATGTAGATTAGTGCAGCTTCAAAGAAACACTGCCCTTATCCTGACTCACAGTGGGATCCAAACGTCGGAGACTTCACTGCTGATGATCTGCTCTATTTCTCCAGAGCAGATCATGTGGTGCTTAACAGTTACCTGAATTATAAAATTGGTATGGTTTTCTGGTTACGGACAGACACTGACACTTTAAGCCCCAATTATATGTCAGGTGATAAAAAGGCACAAAGCTGTTCAAGCTGCCACTTATAAATTTAAAAATGAAATTACATCTACTGTCTAAAAACAGGTATAGGTGAATTAGAAAAGCATTTTTCAATGTGGGTTGGATATTGCTCACAGCAGAAACCTTATAAACTATCAAAATTAGAACAGTGCCGACGGGAGGGAAGGAAAACCGGGAGAGATAATGGAGGAGTCGAGTGTCACATCGGCTCGTTCAGAGGAAAAGCGCAAACTGCTCATGTTTAAGTCATGCAAAGCAAACCTCAGGAACACAAATTCCCTTTTGAAAATATGCAGTGACAAAGCCAAGCAAGCAGGCCCCTTGTCTGACATCTCTCTAACATCCAAAATCCCCTCGTCCACCTCTCCTGCCACCACAGCGCATGCGTTTCCAGAAGTGCTGCATGTGCACTCCCCCACTGCACACCTCAAGATGAAAAGAAGAAAACAAGTCTCCTGACTTATCAGACATTTTCCTTCGACTTCTCCTTCTTTCTCATTGACTCCCTCTTTCTCCCATCTCACCCTTCGCTCTGGCTCTCTGTCAGACAGAAAGATCTTACATAACCAGGTCCTGAAGCTTCCATGTCTTGGGGCACATATTTACCCAACATGCACTTGGGGATTACATCGCAGGGCCCCCTGCTGCAGGAGAGTTTGGGATAGGACTACAGGCTTACAAGTTCCTACACGGGAAAGTGTGTGTGCGTGTGTGTGTGTTACAGAACAGACAAAGCTGTACATAAGAAGACAAAAATAAAGCACCACACCTGTGATGGTATCATACATGTTTCTATCTGTATGTAACTGACTACATATCTGTAAGAAGAGAGGAGCAGAAAGCTTGGCTTTGCAGTTACAGTGCCAGTTTGACGGCGTGTCCGTTAATGTGCGTGTCTGTGAGAGAGTTCACACAGGGAGACGAGCTGTGCCACAAGAGCCAGCAGCGGCAGCAGCAGCAGCCTCAGCAGGGAGAGCAGAGGGGACACGGAGGGAGCTGACTCAATGCCTCCCCATCTCTATTCTCCCAGAACTCCACTCTTTTTGCACTAGTAAACAAATACTGAAGGCAAATAAGAGCAACCCCTCCTCCTCCTCCTCCTACAGCCCCCCTTCCTCATCCCCACAACGTGAGCCACAGAATGAGAAACAAAACAGTCTGTCTCTCATGAGCGTTGCCGTATTTCACCGCAATGTCAACAATAACAAAGAGAGCAGGCTCAGGCAGGAAAAGAAGACGAGGAAAACAGAGATATTGAGGGTAACTGCTTATCACTGAAAATTGCACTGCGATGTTGTACACGACACAATGCACTAGTGTAATAAATGGAATAGAACCATTTTTTGTTATACTGTATTTGTTGACAGTGCAAAAGAAATAAAAAAGATAACTGCAATCTCTTACAAAGAGGCACAGCTGTAAACTATCTGAGCAATGTATCTCCCAACTGCTCAGGGTTATACAGGACACTTTTCAATGCATTATGCTGCGACTATTTACATTTATAAATGGTTGTTAGAGGTAAATCAAGAACAGTAAATAATGTATAAAGGTTTGAAAAAGCCCTTTTCAGACATAGTATCTGTATCATCGTTCTATTTAGTCCTGAGAAGAAATTAACAGATCTGACGTGAGAAAATTCACTGTGTTTGACTTTATGAAAGCCTGCACTAATCAATATTTTTATATTAACAATCAAAGTAAATATTATTTGTGATGTGAAAGGTGTGCCAACCTGAACTTTATTGATATATTACATACATTCATTACAGCTTGCTAAAAATGAATATATTTTATTAATTTTCTTCAGTGTTACAGTATTCCAAGAACTGCTGTTAGGAAATGGAGAGCATAAGTGAACACAATTTCCCAAAAAATGTACAAGAGCCAGTCTGAAGTATGTTCTCTTCTCTCAGTGAAGTGATTCCTCTAGCTTTCCTTAAAATCATCCAACATAATTAACATCTCATTATTCAGTTCTCAGGAGTATTAATTCATGACTTTAACGATTTGGTTGCCAACAAACAATGAGGTGTATTTCTATCCTAGAAAAATTAGGATTAACTAATCAATCATGACCTCTTGCACTGTACTGCACTTTAATCTGTCCTCATTAAAATTATATTAAGAATGCATGCTGCACGAGCGAGTACTCAAATCTGAACAAACACAGAAAAATATAATTTTAAATTAAAAAATGTATCAACATTTCCAAGCTAATTTAGTTATTCTTTCATATTCTGTACGACAGTCTAAATATCTTCTATATCTTATTCCATTATTATGTTCCAGTAACGTGGCTTAATCTTCATTTAAATACCAAAGAGCTGTTTTGTGGCATTCAACTTACATTTTGTTCATTTATTATCTCGCTTACCTTTAAAAATCATATTAACTAAACATTCCCAATTACAGCTTGTACTGTTGTGTGTATGTTTCTGTTTGATAGTAACTGTTTTTTTCAGTACAAACAAGTGAAAGTTCCATAAACCTTACAGTTGAGACTGATTCACAGTTTCCTCTTAGGTTGACATAATTAAAGACACTTGTGATACTTTAAGAACCTGCAGTCTGGTGGTCTGTATGAGGGTGTGCTGGAAGTGGCTACATGTGTTTGTGTGTTTTTGTGCGTCTCCTTGGCTCCCTCACCCTGCTAACCTAGGGCTCCCTCTCTGAAGACACGTCACCCTCTGCTCCACTACTGGCGTTCGGGTCCTGTCGGGAACGTGGGGCGCCCTTCTCCCTGCCTGACTCTGAGGGGCCTTTGGAGCGCGTCTTCTCTTTCCTCTGCTGCTGCTTCTCCTGCTTTGACAGCTGAGAAGAAACACAAAGAACAGGAAAGCCTGGGTCATAAATACATTTTTTACATTATAATCATATCAAAGGATGACGCACAGTTATCAGTCATCTGTAAGACACATTTCATTAATAATAGATTCTTCCATTAAATTGCCCTTAACAATATGTATGTGCCTCCAGAGGGAGAAAAAGAGTTAAAGCAAAATCCACACACGTGATGAAAGTCAGAGCGATCCACATTTACCTTCTACTTGCCTTGTCCTTATTCCCAGACACATGCCTGAACTCGATGCAGTCAGCTGTGGCATGATCGGCAAGCTGATATTTACCATTGATGTTTTAGAAATAAATATTTTCTGCTCATTACCATAGTAGGTCTACTAAAATAAAAGGCCTGATACCCATTTTCTCAGTTAGCTTCTTTCTATGAGTGACTTTTATACACAAACCCAAATCCTTGCATTTGAGTTTATTTTGTGTTTGTCTTTTTCTCTGGATGTCACAAACATCTGTGTAAATGGATTCTAAAAGTTAAACTCTTAATAGAACCTAAAAAAATGTTACCTAACTAACTTCAATTGTTGCCTGTTTAATCATGAATATTTAATGTTGTAGAAAAATATTGAATCAGACTTTTAAAGGGGTTTGTTGTGTGACACAGGCTGAGGTGCAGCTCTGATGGCTGCATATTTCTGTCTGAACCCGAGCTGAGTGTGAGAGAGTATAACCGACCGGCCCGAACCTGACAGTCATTTTGTTTTTATGTCGACACCAAACCCCAGCCTGATGTGTTTAATGTCAGCTGAAGCTTATAAGATTGTGTTATCCTGTCTCGCAATTGCTGTTACCATGGTTACAACTTGCCTGTTTACCCTGATTACACATGTGCGACTTGCAAATGGCTGTGAAAGCACATTGGTTTTTATACTGTACGCTCACATACAAGCGTCGGCCTATGTGAGCAAACCTACCTGAACCCAAACATTTAAAACATCTTGTCCGAGCCCTGTGCACCATCTAATCTAGCTCAGGTCCACTATCCACCCTTTGACCAGTGCACTGTGTGCCAGTCTCCTTTTTCTGTCACTCGTTAAATATATTAAAAACCTCCTCAATCTGTGACTGCTGCTGGTGGCTCCGAGGTCTGAGGCACGACCGCACTGCATCGTGACTTGCACATCATGACCTTTGCAGTGTGTTCAGCATTTACCCAAAGGTCCCAACATGCATGAGAATGAGCAAATTTAACTAAACAAATATGGAGGAACACGTCAGCGCCACAGAGCATCACTCCACATCGGACTAGTCTTGGTGAATACACAGCCACTTCTAATCTCTGCTCATTTGGAGCTATTCTGGGTCGTCATATGATCACTTCAATGAGTCTATTGTTGTGACTGCATGCACTGCCTCTCACACGCTCCGAAATAGCCCTTCACAATGCCACTCAGTGCCGATAGTCACTACTCCAATCAAACCCGCTCCTCCTTTTCTCATTGTATTCTTCACAGTTCATGAAACACCACAACAGTAATGAAGAAGTGGGTATGCTGCCCGTCATCCAAAATAGGCCTGTAAACACAGGTGCTAAAAGTTTTATGGCTGCTGTGGAAATATTTATGAACTGAATGTCATGTTAAAAATCCAAAGCACTGCATAAGACATTACATTATTCAAAGAGCACAAAGAAATTCTGTGTTATTCCCACTTGAACCCATTAACATGCTGTTGTATCAAAGCAGTCCTGCGCTCTCCGTTGATGATATAACATCTGGTGCATAGAAACTACACAAACGTTCAACATCTGAATACAAAATGGACACAGAAGAAAACAAACTCCAGTCTTTCTTTGCCACGAAGCAATCATCACTTGAACCTCTTAAACCCAAACTCTGATTTACGACCTGATAAAACCATGACCTAACATGGTCAAACATTACATCATTTCTGTGTGGTTGGTTTCAGCCCAGAACGCGAAACAAAATGCACAAACAGTCAGGTGAACAAACAGAAAACGCAGATGAGTATCCAAAGAGAGCACATCCAAACAGAATGAGTTTCATTCCTCTGGATAACACCATTGTTTGCCTGCTGCTTGACCCTGCAGTGGACCAAATCCCTGATTCATGGAAAGAAAGGAACAGTGTCTCTTGGCCGTTGCTTCATCCGCCCCAGTGCCAAGCTTTGCCTATTGGCTGGCCTTTTATCCCTCATGTTCAGCCTTGGCTTTGGCTCCTCGGCCCCCACAGCAAAACATCCCAAATAGACAAGATTAAAATTCTGAGGGCTGCTTAATATCCCTCACTTTGAGCAAGCAAGCCAAGCCCCGAAGAGGGAGAGCAGCCAAAGCCGGGCCGGAGCCAACACATAAGGAAGTTGGCTGGGTCCGATGGACACAATCAGAACTGATTCAGAAAGATGGAAATATGAACTTTTAATATATATGATATAAGAATAAGTGGCTGCGAGACACACCTCAGTTACTGAGAAGGAGAGTTTCATATCCACATTAATTCCCTTATGATCTGCACTTTCACTGCTACTGAAAGACATTACTGGTGGTTTACACAGAGGGATAGGCTGCAACTAACCACTATTGTGGTTTGGTTTTATTTACAACCCAATATACACATAGCAGTCTTGCAAATATATATTCAATTGACACAATGAACCTCCCTAAAGACAGATTCCTGATGAATGCAGCAGTTCTGAAACTGGGGGTATGAGTCATTACAGGGGGAAATACAGAGCTTAAACAATATAAATCACTGCAGCTCTTTATATTAATTGCTGGAACGGAGCCACCATTAATGTTATTGGTTCCATCTGTGCTTTTTGCACTATGGTAAGTCAAACTGTCTGCTACCGGGGCCTTGTTATGAAGGCCAATTCATTAGATTCATAGAGCCTGATGGTTTTCAACATCCAGTTCAGTGCCAGTTATTAAGAACAAGAAACATCGTGTTAAGTTTGATCTGAAGAGAAATAAAAACAGTTGTGCTCATAAGCAATTTACTCAGTTACCCAAAACATGAAAATGCATTTCTCACTTAATACTTCACAAATAGTCCCTGCTTGTGATTAGTTTTGCTTTGCTTGTGCTTAAACTGTGCGCTTGTACTCAGATTTCCTGCACTTCAGCTCTTCTCATCACACTTGCTTCTGTACGAGCATGAAACCTCTCAGATTTCTCCTCTGCTCTGGGATTTTTCTCTTCTGTGCTTTACCTTTTTGAGAGTTCTGGATGGGGTGCCACTTTAACCGGGTTCATGTACTGTGCAAGTAGAAGTAAAGCTAATGCATCCCCAACAAGGGTGGGACAATTTCATTTGTCTTTACCACACTTGGCATTCTATTGCTTGAGGAAGTAGAAAACTAGAATTACAGCACCACGGTTGTATACCTCTGCCAACCAGTGCAGTTTCCGTATACATATTTTTTATCCAGATTCGTATAAGGTCACTGTGACCTTCGACCACTGTGATGTAATCACTTTATCTTTGAGTCCAAGTGAACGTTTGTACCAAACTGGATGACATTCCGTCAAGCTCATTTTAAGATATCACGTTCAACAAAAAAGCATAAACATACTTTGTAAGGCCACTCAGTCTAAATCAGTTTATCCTTGAGTCTAATTGAAAATTTGTTCCAAGTTTGAAGAAATTACCTCAAGGCTTTCTCAGACTGACAGAGGGACAGAGTGACCGAGGGACGGACGGAAAGTACAGACGGAGGGACAACTCAAAAACACAATGCCTCAAGCCGCTGGCTGACACTGGCGCGGAGGCACAAAAACCAAAAGCAGAGGAGAAATCCAAGAGCAGACATTTACACATGCAAAGAAGCAGTGTAAGGAGAAGAGGGGCTGAAGTGCAGGACAACTGAATGTAAGAGCACAGTTTGAGAATGGAGATCTTGAATGGGGGAACAACCATGTTAGAAGTGACAGGTTGAGCATGGTCACTTGTTAGGTATCATTGTGCAGCCTCACAGAGCCACGAGCATGGCTGTAGCCTTCATATCGTTTCATGCGTCAAGTGTCTTGTTTGCTTATTCAGTCCAAAATGAGACATACATGTTCAAATCATTAACATAATCAAGAGCTGGTCTGAAAGTATGTTCTCTTTTCTCACTGAAGCAGAAAGATGAAAAAAAACTTCTCTGTATCTTGAACCTCACAATCAATATCTTATTATTTTCAATGAAACCTTACAGACATCACATTAATCTTATTTTCACAAACCTGACCAGACACTTGATTTAAACTTTAAATACTTAATGTTCCTCAAGAGGTGGAGTTCTGGGAATATTTTGTTTGTTACTGAGGTTGGATTCTTGTCCCCGTTCACTGTAAGTTGTCAGAACCTAAGATGACAAATGTCCTGTTCAGTTGATCTGAATCTGAATCACAGAACTTTTTTTTAGCCTTTCCCTTAAAGGAATGGAGCATGTGGAGACCCGTGGAGCTGTCAGAGCTGCTGTCAGCATTTACCGCAGATGATTTATTAACTCTTTTTCCATTGTTCCGTTTGAAAACGGGTGTGACCCTGGATGTATAAGACAGTATATCACGGTGAAGAGGGAAGAGGATGCAGGGAGCAGGTCCCCTCTCTTAGAGACAGGTAGGACAGAGGGGGAAATTAAAGTGGGCACAACAAGCTCCACAGAGCCTCCTCACGTGGGTCTGTGCCAATCATCTGTAGCATTCCACACAGCACTGACGCACACACAGAGGTACACTTGACTAACCCAACTGGGAGGATGGCAGCGTCGCCACGGGGGTGACTGAGTGAGGACACAGTGAATCAGTCCCGCTCCACATGACTGTGGAAGAGGTGACAGTGGCAGACGTCGATCTTGGCAAGGACGTGATTGTTACTCTCTGGGTGTTCTAAGTTCTTTTTGAATAAATATCCAAATATAACTGAAGTAATTCACCATCCTTATTTAGCTTGAAGTAGTTGAATGCTTTTACTGTGGTGTACAACATGATACCAGGAGACCGCATGTGCTCCTGCTAAGGATTGCTTTTACAGTACTGAGAACCTGTGTCCACAGTTGCAGATACATTAATAAACAAGCAAGTTTTTCATTTTTCACAGTTGACCCAAGGTTTAATACAGTCAAATGTATCCAGGGAATGTCACAGATGTACTTTTACCAAATGTAGAACTGTCCAATACATCACCACATATTAATCACCCATATATTATCACAAATACATCAGTATTGATTAATTGATTGATGTCGCAATGTAATTAAAGGCAGCAGTGAGACAACAAGGATGTATTTCAAAAGAGAAATTGGAGATCATTGCAAAGCAAGCAGGCAGAATCGTATCTTTTGACACTTTAAAATGTACTGTTATGTCTGGTTTTAATTTTCCAACAATAAAATGTTATTAAAAATGTGTAGGTGCTGTATGTTAATGTTGGATCGGTACTGGCCTCAAAGATGGGTTGTCCTATATCATTGACAAAAATATTCATCAGATGAGGTTCGGAGTGATACTTTAATAAATAATATAAATTGTAAAACTGACATATTAGAGTGACTGCACTCAACAGAAAAGCAAATATCACCATCTAGTGGTTCAAATTAGAAATAATGCGACTAATCTAAAAAGAGGAATGACTCTTTGTGCACATAGTTTTTTTATTTTAGTGCAGCTACAGAATAAATGAAAACCAAAAATTATTTTACATATTTGCTTTGAAATGTGTTATTAAAATGTAACTTTAAAATAATCTAAAATGAGAAGTTCCACTTACTAGTTTATTTCTCTGAGGTTTAAACCACACCAGGCAACTGAACCATCTCATTAACTCAGTGACATATGGTTAAAAAGTAAAGAGCTTGACTTTCAGTTAGGATTCATTTACCCATCAAACAACTTGAAACTTCTCGTTTAACGACCTACCAGTTTGGCGTCTGTGGGACCAGAAGGAGAAGTCAGTTCAATGGTAACAGGTCCATCATTTTGTATGTTGACCTGCATGTAGGCTCCAAACTTCCCATCTAGAAACACAAAATAAAAAACACACACAAAGAGATTGAACAAGTCACAAAGAATCAACATTGAAAGAAATCACATATATGCAGCACTGCCATAGACGCAGTTTAGTAGAGATTAGTACAACCTAAATGGTGCCACAACCTGATATTAACACGCAGTACAAAGCAGTAACGATGCTTCATGAAGACGCAGGATAACATGGAGTCTGGAGACATTGAGGACAAAAGATGAAGGTTCTCTACGAGGAGAGGTTTCAACTTTAATGTTCTCTTTTCTTCCGCCAGCTCCTCAAGAATGATGACAACATCTGCACAATGAAGGCAGGGGCCGCGGTGAAACGCGCTGTATCATCATATTTCTCTTCTGGTGGGGGGACTAATTAGGAAGCCTTATGCTACCCTTGCTGGGACACGGTGTTCTCCGCACCTGCTCCCCAGTGGGCTGACCCAGTTCACCGCCATCACATCACAGCACCGATGATCCGCACCTCCCAACCCCTAAACTGCCATAACCCTACACTGAGCTGGGAATACAGACAATTAGAGAGCAGGGGGGACAGGGCTCTGGTCCAAACTTAGAAGTGAATGGCAATAATGGTGACCCTCAAACCTTTTCTTTTAATTAGCTGTGAACATCCCGGAGTCTTTTCACTGTGTTGTCCTGACTGCAACCTCCTGGGACTCTGCACAGTTGAGTTCTAACTGTTTTTAAAATGAAGATCTAAACTATTGCTGTCAATTA